CCCATGAAAAGCATATTACTTTGAGTCACAGAGCTACATTGTTGTCCCAAAAAACTATTAAACACTCACCAGTGAGGCGACTGTAGCACTGGGTGACTTGTGTCTTGGTTACAATGAACACTGACACGATTGTCCATTTTGAATTGATCCCACACACAGTCCTGCTGCAGTAAACACTCATTGCATTGCCATAAATATGTAATTGCAGCTGAAACCTTTTCCTCCATTTCAATAATGTCTGCATATAAGTTCAGTGTCCAGTAACTACAGGTTTGCATCTTGAGCAGAACACATCGGCGTCAGGCTAAAATCAAGACACATGAAGGAGACATGAAGTATGAAAACATGCACTAATGCGTTGTTAGTGTCTTCACATCATTTTTTGACATCAAAAGAATTACAGAATAACTCCTATGCTTAAAATATTCTCAAAGTATTATGTTTATAGTTTTTCATGTTGCTAATGTAAACATATTTGTTTCTGTTTCCCTGTAGGCGTTGTATGAACTGGTGAAATGTGACTTTGACACAGAAGAAGCTTTAAGAAGACTTAGGTTTAATGTAAAAGCAGCCAGAGGTAAGCAGACTCTCACTAATACCTGCTGCACACAGGAGGATTTTTACTTTTTAACTGATGTGGCAGACCATACACACACACAGATTTATTGATTTTTAATCCTTTAATTGTGAAAACCACACACTAGATGATCCAGATGAGTCACAGGACGACACGCATGGTGTTTCAACAAACAATTTCTGAGAAGTGATTTCAGAGACTTAGGAACTCAAAGAAACTCACCTGATAAAACTTGGCCTAAAAACAAACATGGGAGTTGATTGCCAGTGTCGTCAGCTGGTATGGCTTATTTTTGTAATGTTTTGTTCAAGACAACAGGACACATTAAACAAATACTCATGCCTAATTTTCACCTCAGTTTCCTCAGAGGTATCTTAACTGATCTAGTTCTCTGTTTGCAGATACTGTGATATTTATCTTTTGCAAGAGATTGTAATTATGATGCAACATAAACATTCATCTTCTTTGTAACAGAGGAGTTGTCTGTCTGGACTGAAGAGGAATGTAGAAACTTTGAACAAGGACTTAAAGTTTATGGGAAAGACTTTCATTTAATACAGGCCAATAAGGTAAGAGAAGTGTGAAAATCTGCCTGTTCAGATCATTGTGTCATGACCTCATATTGATATTCAAAATAATTTGTGGATGATAACATTGATTTTAAATGATTGTCGATGTGTTGCTGACATGTGTCTGTTGAATGCTCAGGGTTGAAATCTGCTCCATTTCAACCTTGCTGCATTTTGAGACAAATCAAATTTCTTTAGTGTTACTTTTGACCCAGAGAGTAATTTGATTTGTCTCTTCTTTGACGTTGTGCTGAATCTGTGTCTTCAGACGATGGTAATAATGGTCGTTTCATGTCTGCTGAATTAAATCTTTCAGGTGAGAACTAGGTCTGTAGGAGAATGTGTGGCCTTTTATTACATGTGGAAGAAGTCTGAGCGTTATGATTTCTTTGCACAGCAAACCAGACTTGGGAAAAGGAAATACAACCTTCACCCTGGTGTCACGTGAGTTTTATTTTCTTATATGAACAGTTGTGGAAGATATTGACAATTTACACATTGTGAATTATGAATTATTGTCTTTTTTTAAGCTAATTGTACCTACATGATTCTTGCTTTTCTGGATTTGTACCCTCATGGTTGAATGCATTTATTCTAAGTCCCTTTGGATAAAAACTTCAGCTAAATGATATGTAATATAAAATATGTAATCTAATTAATGGAAGAAATCATAATAATTTCAGGTTTTTATGTTTTTTGTTTTCCAAGAGAATATCATGGACTATGAAAACATACTTATATAAACAGAATTGCTTTTTGTTTTGTGTTAAAAATAAATTAACCAGACACAGAAGTCTTGTTGGGATTTTCAGATTTTAAATAAGTGAGGAATAGGTTCATCTAAAGGTAGTGGGTAGATTTATGTTCAGAGCAGACTTGTGAACTTTAACTTGACTTTATCGCTGGGGTTTATCCTAAATAGAATCTAAGATGACTCTACTGAGCACAAGCAAAAAGATATATGCCTTGATCTGTGCTGCTGCCCGTTTGTTACTTTCAGACCGCTGTCTCAGCCACTGTGATGTTAATTTAATTCATTTAAAAATGTATCAGTTCTTATTCTGTTCAAATGGTCCAGTAATATATAATATACAATGAGGACCCACCTGCAACCACTGTATCACCCTATCAAGAGTTGAGATTATGTGTAACAGGCTGTGTCTTGCCGTCTATCCTCAGAGACTACATGGACAGATTATTGGATGAGACGGAGAGCGCAGCATCCAGCAGGGCGGCTTCGCCACCTCCCACCACCTCCAGCAGCAGCGCCAGCCACTCAGAGAAGGAGGACAGCAGCAGTCAGAATGGTGAGCTGATGACTAGTTCTATTGGGGCTTACACACAAATAGGTATTGAAGATGTTTTAATTTTCAAATCTATTGGCAAAGCAAGTTTATCTGTTGAGCACATTCCGCAACAAGGCAATTCAAACGTCGAGATGGGAAAATGACGAGGTGGTGAACTGAAGCCAGATAATTGATCAACTTCATTATCAACATCAAAACCAGCAGCGTTATTTGTGCTCGTGCGACATGACCGTTCCATAAGAACCTTAAATTGAAAGCCCATTGGTCAGCAGGACAATTTAATATTCATTAGTTGCTTTGCATTGACCATTTATGGTTTAATGAGGGCGTGTACAGGGCGGACTTTGAGGGAGATTCATGCATGATTCCAGGTGGACAGTGATTTAACAAGGGAAATTACCTTCAGGTGTGCGTGCACAGTTTTATAAATGTGATCCTATGCACTGTTATAAATGAGGCCCGAGTTTATTTGGGTTTTATCAACACGTCTTCTAGCTAACCTTTGACAAATTCAATATCATAAAAACATTTCAGTAATATCTCTTTCTGTAAACGGTGAACTTATTACTGTAGATATCCAGTTTTATCAACATTTGTAATCTTACTACAGATTTTGTTTGTGTATGATCTCTTTATTTCTTAGTTGTCTCAGATCACTCAGTACTCATCTTTCTTTGACAGGTATTGCAACTCATAATTCAAACCACCCAGTGGATGGCGCTCTGTTGCCTCCAGTAAATTCAGTCAAACCTGAGTCGACTCAGTCCAACGGTCCCTCCAATCCAACAGTGGAATCTTCTCCTGTCTCAGACAACAACTCCAACGGCTGCAGCCAACCCTCTGCACCGAACCACGACAGAAATGGTTCTCTAGAGCCGCCGCTTGACCACAGAGATGCAGCGGCAGTGGCACAGGACCGGCCGGGCAAGAGATGCAGGACGGAGGCAGAACCTTTGGGCCAAAGTGAGGTGGAACCATCCAGAACGCAGGAGAACTGAAGGTTTCAGAGCTTGGTTGCGTTCACTGACAGACGTTGACTTGGGGTAAAATTAAATGTCCCGACCTTTTTGGCCTGTGAGCTTGAAATCTCCTGAGAGCAAAGGACTCAATGATAATAAGGTCAAAGGTCACTGAAAATGACAGTGAAGAACACAGCCTACCAAACTGCAGCTGGTCCTCTGGGAGGGGCAGTGACGTCCCTGTCAGCCCCCCGAACCCATTCATGTACTGACCGCCTGCAAAGCTCATCCCAAAGTACCACCGCTCCATCATGTCTACGAAACATCTCTCACCGTCTTTATTCCCTTTTCGGAGACTGACAAATTTTGCCAAGAATTTCCTTCTTTTTTTTTTTTTTTTTTYTTWGTACTCAAAGAAAATAAATCACCTGTGATATTTTTTTACACAAAGAGATATTTATATTTTTAACAAAAAAATCTTTAATGATTAATTACTGTTCAAGCCATTTGAACATTTGATGACACAGGGGACACACACTGACCGATTATGTGCTCAAGTTGTCTTAAAGAGGCAGAAAGAAGACCAGTAGGCTGGTGCTGCAACTGGCTCGCTTTAGTTGCACTTTGATTGTACGTTTCTCATTGTTGATTGACTGATCGATCAGGGTGGTGATGTAAAAACCCAGCAGAATGACTTTTTCACTCCTTCACACGCTGAACCGGCTCTTGCCTCTTTATCACGGCTGTTTGTTTCTGATAAATAAACCGACGGGTTTATCCCCCCCTTACAGGTTTGTTTGTGTAAAGCAGCTGACATCAGTGATGTCTTGTATTATAAACTCATCGTGTAGAAGATCGCTGTATTTTTGGATTTTCATAGTCAGTGCTTTGCTCAACGCTTTGTTTTTACTAGACAGAATGTTCATGGTTTTTAATGTAAAGTTTGTATAGATTTCTTACCTTGAGCAGTTGGTACATTTTTATAACTGTATGTTTATCTCTGTATTTTCTGGTCTTCCTCGTAGGCTTCGCTTTTTTGTTGAGAAACCGTTTTGCCTCTGTTGTCTGAGATGGATGTAATAAAGTAGCCATTCCTCTTTCCCTCTCTGTTAGGCAGCACTTCTCATTCCTGTGTGACCCTCCTCAGTCTCAGATGTTTGTTGCAGAGCTTCATATTTTCTGCATAAAAAATACTCTGCGTTGTGGACGAGTGTGCCGCTAGGGTTCGATTTTTAAAAAGCAAAGGCGACTGCTAAGTCTGAGCCTGTAATTCCTGTCCCTCCACAGTGAGTGTCTTCAGAGCAGTGGACCTCCAGCAGACCAGGCTGATTTGTTTTGGTACAATAGCTGTTCAGCTTAATGCTTTGTTGTTTTAATTTGTACTCCAGCTTTGAACTTACATTCACAAATTAAGATAAGTTTGTCTCAAATAATGTTGATCCATGTAGTCTCTTTTTTCCTTTTTTGTTTACTGATGTTTTTTTCCTCTGTAAATGACAACATGAATAAAAATGAAGTGTATTCCAAGACTTGGCTATGAATGGAATAAACAGCTATATTTAATAAATGTATTAATGAAGTTGAGAAGTTGTATTGCGAGTTTTAATACTGAAAATGGAATGTGTAAAAAATCTGTATTCATACAGCACTATATTATAGTTTTGATGACCACTCAAAACTCTACAGTACAGTTTTTCCATTTACATTCATACAGTGTATTTATATGCAGCACTCACTTTCTCTATCACACAGCACAGCAGTTGGGAGACTGGAATCGAGTCACCAACCCTCTGGTTAATGGATGACTCGCTCCATCTCCTGAACCATAGCTTTTCAATTTGAAAAACATAAGCATTAGAGTAGTCTTTTATAATAATCCTCACATATACCTTATGTGAGTTGAAAAAGGTACAAAGAATTAAAATATCTACTTAAATTTTATTAATTTCTCAAATATAAAAATGTCTATGTCATTGTTTTTGTCAGTGAAATTTAATTATATGAAAGTTAAGGCTCTTTGTCATAATTATACATGAAAGCTGATAATAGCGTCTCAACAAATAACATTACGTGACTGTAAAATAACAAAAATGTGTGAGCTGACAAAATACAGGAAATGTTTGTAAAACTTATAAAAGGAATGTTTTAAAAATAGATATATGCATTATACTGTATGTATATACATGTATCTATGTACATTGCTCTGGACGTACTTCAGCGAAGGGTCGGGACTCTCTGTTTACGCCTTTTCTGTTCAAATTTGATGCACAAAAGTAACAGTCAGGAAACCTTGCACACAAAACCTGATTGGAAAGTAACGGTGAATATAACCATTGAAACATTCTTACTTGCTCGCTCCTGCGTGAAGGTGTTGAAGGAGTACACCAGGCTCCCGGCGATGCTGTGAGAAACAAAGATGACACAATCTGTCCTTAGACAAAAAATATCAACTCTTCGAACAGAATCAGTCAAATGCTCTGAGTCTTACCTGATGTTCAGACCTATAAAGTTTGTCCAGGTGAAAATATAATCTCCACCAAACACCATTCCAATGTAGGTCACCACAACATTCTGCAGCAATCACAGAGACAGAGAGTCACTTCACACATCTGCATTCATGACTTGGCCAATAGAGGACAGTACCGGCTTTGAATGACCCACCTTGATACAGCCCACGATGGAGGTAGTGAGCGCTGAGTTGTGCTGCGTGCACAGCATGATGGAGTACATCAATATAAAGCTGTATGACAGATGGGAGATCAATTAGACAGATGAGGGTTTATATTATTGATCTGTATATACACCAGGACGACGTTTCTCCAAGATTCCATGGATACCTGCTGTCGACCAATCATGAGCTGGTCTCAGCTGATTTTATGGCATCAAACTTCAATGATAGAGCATTTTATTTGATGTGTACTTTGATTTTTAGTTTGGTCCATGTCCCGTCCACTAACATGGAGGAGACAGGATTTATGAGGCTTTGAGCTGAGATGCCATCCATCTTTATATACAGTGATATCCATGAACAAATAATGGCAGTAGAAGTAGTACTTACCCCAGGACACAGGAGAGCACAAACTGCACAACAAACACCTGCTCGGACCATCCATCATACTCCAGCCCCTGTTCACACACACACGCATGCATGCACACACACACGCACACACACGAAAGAGACTCTCAGGACTGACTCAAGTCATCAGAACCTAAATTATACATTAACTCATGTTAGAAAACCACATCTTACCATTTGTAAGTCCCCTGAGTAGTAAGCATAAGCCATAGTGGGGAAGATCATGATCAGAGCGTTGTAATACAGAAGCCCATATTTGCCCAGCTCCTGTGTGAACAGCAGCACACAACTCTTCAAGAAACGATGAATGAACAGGAGGCGCCATGTGCTGAGATGTGACTGCTCTGCTCACCTGAGAGTCAAGTTTCTGCTTCACATACACCCCGCTGGCCGCAGTCAGGACGTTGTTCAGCATGATGAAGACGTACCCTTCAAGGTCAAACGCTAAATCTGAGCTACAAAACCCAGAGTGAGACACGCTGCCTGGGTTTGAATATCAGCACATGGGTACAGTGTATGTGGCGCTTACCTGGCAGCGATGAAAGCACCAAAGATCATGGTGAACACGGTCATTTTCACTGACATGGAGAAAGTCTTTCTGTGAGGAGAGGAAACATTAAAAGCATTCATTCGCAAATTTAAAAACATTTCGGTTAAATTGTAAAAAAGAGGTAACATGGCGTTGCACCTACTTCAGCAAGAGTCCCTCAAACACCATGGTGAGAAAAATACTGAACCTCCTCAGAACTGTAAACATAGGTAAACTAGGGGCAGAAGAAATGATTCAGATTGAAATTATTTTGTTTTAAACTATATTTCATGATGATAATGTGAAATAATAGGACAAGCTCTCACTTGAGTCGCTGTGTCCCAAATAGTCCTGATATTTGATTCCCGACATACAGCAGAGGCAGTGGGAACATCTGCAACGGAAGGAAGCACAGAAAATGTTAAATATAGATTATTATTATTAATGAAGTATCAGAGCCACTTAAGGGAGGAAAAAAATCTGAGACTTTGAGAATAAGTTGTAATTTTAGGCTCTATGTCATATCAGAGGGGGAATATCAGAAGATCTATCTGGCGCTTGTGTTAAAATGAAGAATGTGGAGCATCTTTTTAAATTATACTTTAGAATAAGTTTCACAAATAACAAAATACTGATAAAAATGTGATTTTTATTCTTGTAGAAGTAGATGAAAATATAAATTTAGTCTCAAAATATTGTAACTTTTTCTCATAAAATTATGACTTTATTCTGAAAATGTATTCTTTAGCTTCAATATGGCCCTGTAATACTCGGTTGTAGATTATAGTTTTGGGAACTACATTTTCTCATATAGTATCAGCTCATAGAATTCCCAGCGCACCTTGCCCGGTATACTCAGATCCATATCTGGAAATGAGATGATGCCCAACATCTTGCCCATCCTCAGAACCACGACTGTAGCCAGCATCTGCACTTATTAGAGCAGGGAGACAAAGTGGTGCACGTCAGTGTTTGTTTGGGAGCAGAGGAAAAATGTTGACTCAACTTAAGACAAACATACTTGACCGATTCCGACACATGTTGACGATGGAAACCTGTAAAACACACATGGTGAGAATGAAGAAAATGACTGAATACAAATATTTGAATCAATTCTGCCACAGTAAATAAATAAAATCAGTCAAGCTGCAGCAAATTTCACACGCTAATAAATATAAGTTTATACCTAAATATCTGGATTATTTCCATCCAGATTCATGAATTATGTAAATGTATCTGGATCTGCACCAACATTTAATGGGTTCTTCTCTAACCCAAGGTTCTTGGAAATCTGTGCAGTAGTTTTTAAATAATCCTACTAACTATCAGACAAACAGACACATGATATCTTTGGCGGAGGTGATTACTACATTTCATTAATGCTTCTTAGCTGCGAGTTAACGTCTGGTTTACTTCCTACACACTGTCTATAACCTGTGATTACACACGGTTCACAACTTTGGCCTTTTCAAGATCCTTAAGTTTTTTTCCTAACTGCGAAAGATAGAATAAAAAACTCTATACTATTGTAAACAACAAGTTCCGAACCAACACAAATGCAGTAAATGTAATAAATGACTGCACAGTACTGTGTAGTATTTAGTGTTGAAGCTAGGTTTTTGACTGAGGTTCAGCTACTTTAATTAATAATTTAAAAAGATAAAATACTCATAACTCATGCGGATATGAACATTTGTTTTATCTTGATATAGTTTTCCAGCAACACCATAACGCATGATGTTGCATTATAAGTTTGAATTGTGATAAAGTGAGGTGAATGTATGTGTTTATGAACTCAACATTAACTCAGTTAGATGGATGCGGTGTTCTTTTTTCTCTCTGAAGTTACATCCTCTTACTTTAGGCACATTTTGGTAAAAGATTCTCATGTTGTAAAAACTCTTTCACTTGGAGTTCAGCGTTTAAGCTGTTGAATTGATGATTTCACTGAAGTAAAAGATCTGAACACTGATAATGAAGGGACATGTTTGTGTTGGTAGAAAAACAAACACACACACACAAACACACACACACACGCAAACACACACACACACGCAAACACACACTCATTTTTAGAGGAACACCAGTCATATAATAACACACATGTCGGACTTCCTCTGACTTGAACTTTGTACCTGTAGCTGCTCAGGACGCTCTTGTTGACAACGACGATGAGAAACGAGCTGACTCCATAAAACACCGCGGACAGAAGCTTCTCCGTCACCGAGGAGGAGCCGTCTGCACCGCAGCCGTCTCCCCCGGCTCCGGAGGACTCTCCCCCGGTGGACGCGTCTCTGTCTCCGGGCTCATGTCGACGTTCGCGGAGCTCAGCCATGAACTCCTGGACGTTTCAAAGGGAGATCGCGAGTCCTGCTGCGCATGCGCACACCGACACGTGACGCTGGAGTGATGGGAAGTTTTATTGGCGAAGACGAGGAAGAGGAAGGAAGTGAACTATCTTGGCTGACTTAAATGAAGTGGATGTAAACATTTCATACACAGTCAATCTTATATTATTATTATTATATTATTATTCTGAGGAACCATCATATCCATAAAGTTAATGGAATAACAGTGTTTATGTATAACGTTTTCAACTACCTTGTTTCACTGAAAAACAACTAAAAGGTAGAATAAAAATCCAGCCCTTGCTTTTTTAACCTTTAGTTTTCTTTTTCATTTAAATGCATCGCTCTCCTGTTTTCTTAGGAGCTACCTCATTTATATGTTTGTAATACCAAAATGTTATCTCCACTTTTTTTCCCCTCTGGAGTTGATGTTATAGAATTCTATGTTTTGGCAGTGAGGGCCCTGAAGCTGTGGGACTGAGGAGATCAGGTCAGCAGAGTCAGCCATGTCTTGTAAGTCCCTTCTTAAGCCTTCAGTTTCCATTTCGGTTTTCACATACCGAATGATTTTATTCTATTTTGTTGATGTGACTGGTCTGCTTAATTTTGCTGCCATTGTAAGGTGCTAAGTAATATGGATTATAGTGCTTAATAACTTGAGTTAAATATAATTAAAGATGCAGACAATAACTGTCTAGCCTTTTCCTTTGTTTTCCTCCCTTTTACCCATTATCCCTAGGTGTTGTATGTTGTGAATTGAGTAAATTAAAAAAAGTTAATCAATTCAGATACACTTGACATTGAAGAATACTTTGTGAATTAAAGGTCAGTTGATTCAATTCTCAAATCTGTCAGTATATTAGCTATAAGTCCATGACAACAGTCTGAGTGAATCTCACTTTCTTTAAGGTTATAGCGTTCAGGATTTGGTGGATCTGTTCTAGTTGTTTAGTTAATTTATCCAACCAATTTTATATTTAACAGATATAATGGATATACCTGATGGTAGCTTCACAGTCCATTAAGCTGAGTCAACATCACAGATGAAGGTTTATTGCAGGGCTCCCTAAAAACTGTAAATGAGTAAATCAAACCTATCTGCAGTGCTTACGTCTCACTCAAATCCATATAGGATAAACAGGGAATACTGCAGGCCTGAAACACACCACTGCCTCAGTGCGTTAGAGCCAATGAAGAGTCATCAGCATTGTTTACACCTTTAAAATTCACAGTTTGGATTTTAAAACACCCGACAGCCACTGGCAAAGTACATGTAACACCTCTAAAGCGATTTATTAGAACAGGGATGTTTGCAAGAGAAACTTTCGCCGTCACGTGGCTCAAACAGTCGCACGAGAAAACTGTCGCAGTCGTCTGTATCAGTGCATCACCAGTGAGTCACTGCAACGCACAGCATGTAAAGCTTGTAACTCACTCCCTAATGCCTTCAGTACAACCCCCCCCCCCAAAAAAATGTGGAATGTACCCACTTCATAAAAAGAAGAAAACAAAAAAGCTCACTGGAAATGGCTGACACAGGTGGCTGCAAGCAACATTACCGTACAATACATTCTGTAGCTCGTGATTGCTCCACGATGACAGCGGACATTTCTTTCAGACAAATTATGCATTGGTGCTGCTGCACTGATAAAATACCCAAAAATAAAATAAAACAGCAATTATGGTTCACAGAAGGAAAAAGGGGGAAAAAACCACAATCTTCAGAGGATTGTTGCTGATAAAACCAAGTGCTTTTAGATCTGAAAATATATTACAGATACTCTAAGAGCTAGATATGTCCACAGTCTACCGTTCTCGCATAGATTTCAACAATCACTTTTCAAAACACAGTATGAACTACTTCAGGCCAGAACGTGCAGTCTACTGTTGGAGAATGGCAAGTTCTTAGCGGAGGAATACTTAAAATTCTAAGTTACCAGCTGTCAAATTCACACATTCAGCCTCACACTCTTCAATACATTCATACTCACACACGCAAACAAACGCAAACACAAACATTCTTAACAACAAAATACAATATTTGCTTAGTGGTCCTGAAGTTACAAGTAGTACAGTCTGTATGACCTAAGAGGACCAGCCTAAAGATATACATTGGGCCCTGGGACACCCTGAAAACACAGGTAGCACATCTGGATCAGGGGATACAAAGCATTACTAACCACTGGTCCACCAAAAAAAGGCAAGCTATCAAAAAATAAAATAAAACAGGAAAAGGCATTTACTTCCACTGCACAACAAGCTGAAAAATACCAAGCTTTAGTAGGAAGTCTCTTTGCCTGGTTACCCATCCTGAACTCGTGCCTCGCAAACAGGTGGGTAGTCAGGATCAGAGCAATTACACTTTATATGCAAGTTAAGCCATACTTCAGATATCTAGTACAAGTTTCCTATGTAGTGAATTGCTACCACATCAGTGTGTATTTACTGGAAAACAAAACTCCAGTAGAAAGTCTTTTTCTAAGATGACCCCGTAATACTGAGCTAAAGTCAAGAGGAGAAAAAAAAGCACAAAAGCTTCAGGGGGAGGAGATACACACACTTCAACCTAATCGCAGAAATGCATAAATTCATAAATTCAAGCAGCACAAAGAAATTATCAATGACGTATGCATAATCTCTGAAAAAAAGAACAAGTATGAAAACATCCCTGCTTTCATGTTCCTAAATACAAAACTTCAGTGTAACAAGAGGTCCTTTTTCCGCCTTTTTTGTCTTTTGTTCTCCTTTAAAACGGGTAAAATTTTAGTCCTCTGGTGGTGGGGATGGTATGGGATGACAGTCTTTTTTTTTTCGTCATTAAAATCTTTTTTTTTTTTCTGTTTTCTTATATACTTGGAAGATGTGGTAAGCATGCAAGCCTCGTAGAGGAGGGGCCCCTGAAGGGCTGATGGGTGGGCCGGTGGTGGAAAATGAGCCCTTAGGCCAGAGCTGGGAAGGCCTCAGGATCATCCACGTTGGGGACTGACACGCCACTCGCCTGGAGGGAGACACAAGAACCAGGACAAGGTTAACTGTGATTATTCATCAGTAAAGCTGCTATAATCAGTCAATCAAGGGTTTTATTTTAACAATGGATCATTTTACAAAGTGTGTGTGAAGGCTGATGAACCCAAAGACAATTTACTGTCAACTCAGTTTCAAACAGTTTCCCTGTTACGTCTAATAATAATACTTGTATTACTTGTTACTTTTAAATCTTATTGATTACATACAGAAAATATGTTTACAACAAAGCCCCTTTATTGTTGCTTAGTGTCTTAATATAAAGGAGCCATATAAATATGATTTTTATACAACACTGACACTATGACACTGCTGGTAAAACTCATGCATTATTCTCGAATGGTAACGTGCAGTAACTTGGTTGTGATTGGCCCAGCACAATTCTTGTGCAGGGGAAAATAACTGAATGTCAAGAATCAGTAAACCATGGCTAAATGTGTGATGTGCAAAAACAAATATACTCCATCATATACAGTGTATGACTGCAAAAAATTCCACTCCATCATCTTATTTTTAGAACATGATTTGGGGCCTCTGATATTAGTTTGCATAAAATGTACACAGTGAATTTCAAGATATAATAGTAGACGGAAGTTTGGTGCAAAAAGGAAGCAGAGAGTGAAGTTTAACATCCTTACTCTGAACATTTGCTTTAGCGTCATTTACTGTCCATTATCTTTTCTATTATATTATTGTGTTCTACATCTACAGTTTCCTACAGTTGCCAGGCTCATTGTGTCTCACCCCTGCCTCCTCCAGCTCTACACTGATCTGATACGGGGCCTGTCAACAAGTTGAACTTCCTGCAACATTTCTCCGCAGGGTTGCTTCCGGTACAGGCGAAACTCTCTAACAGGAAATGCTCACTTACAGGAGCCGAGCAGGCAAACTGCTCTGCCTCTGTGGAATCTGACGGGAAATACATCAAAGTGAGGCAAACCTTAAAAGCCTGTGAGTCTAAATCAGCATTTGCTGATAGCGTTTATTACTTGACAGTTTTACACTATAAATATCTGATCCACACAAAAAACACCACTGTCATGAGGTCAGTCGGTTTTCCACAGTGGAGCATGTGTTTACTGGTCTGTTATTTCAGGGATTTAGTTTTCTGCGTCAGTGATTTTACAGCCTGTTCAGTGAGTGAGCTGAATCTTTTGTGCGGGACACTAAACCTTTGTTGTTGTTAGCAGCTTTCATTGTTACCTTTTCGGACCGTCCTCCCCCGCGTGCCGTCCTGCTGCCACCCCCGCCGCGGCCTCCCCTGCCTCCGCGCGCTCCCCCGCGCCCGCGGCCGGGGCGACCCAGGTCTCCAAAGTTGATCTCCAGCTGGGATGTGATGTCGTTGGCTGGTTTGCGGAAATGGTGGTCGCTGGACTCGTCGGTGGGGCCGGGTTGCTGCCAAGAGAAGATGTAGAAGTACGTTAGGAGATGGCTTTCCATTTGTTTTTATTTAGTAATGTGAGTGAACATGAGTTATATCTTTTAGAGTGTATCGTTTAGTACAAAATCTTTAGATTCTTTATTTCCTCCACCCAAAATGGAATCAATTCTAATATAATCTTAATATTAGAAAAAACAAAACAATGTACACCCTGAATGTTTTCATGGACTGTGTGGATGAATGAGCAGTGTGACAGCTGCAGGCACCTTCTGGTATATTGGTTGAGCTTCTGCTTCCATCTCTGGGGTGTCAATCAAAGCACCAACAGGCCTCTGAAAATTGATCGTGAGAAACATGAGTGCAGGAGTATTTGCACGTGTGATGTCATATCAGCTTGTAAGAATTACAAAGTGAAACACAAAAACCTTTTATTTTATCTGTTCACAACTTTCTACATTTTCAAAACTCCTATTTCCTGTTTTCTTTCCCTTCCTTGCTTGAAAATGTAAATAACCACAAATGAAGTATGTGGAATAATATGAACTTTGTAAAAGACTAGAGGACATTTCTGGTCATAGTAAAAATAATTGAAGAAAAACCACAACACACCTCCATACATACATCTTCACTCTTGGACTTGTGCAGCACGTATCCTTTCTTCCACTGGCTGTCAGCGCCCTCGTTGGGCTTACGGATGTTAAACTCCACCTTGGTGCGCTCCTTGTCCTGCATGGCCTTCCACTCGTCCAGGGTCATTTCTTTGGGGCCTTCGTTTTTCACCTCTTCCACCTCGTTCTCCCTGGAAAGCCAGCACACAACAATGCAGCAAATTTAGACTTCAAGCCACAGATCCTCTTAGCTCTATACCTGCTCTAATCCCAGGTCAGTAACAATGTTTATCCCAATTACACCACAGCTGTGTGAGGAGAATGCGGAACAGTTTGTGACAAAGAACGTCTTAAAAATCCTGAAGGAAAATATCACATTGTGCTGATTGTGCTCTGCAGCTGCAATCTACCTTTCCTGGCTTTTACTTGAACAGATGCTATTCCTTTCCTGAACATCAAAATATCACCCGACAACTGAGACTGTGACAGAAGTGCATGCTCACTTGTTCTCAGAGCCGGCAGGTGCAGTTTCCTCTCCCTCTGGGGTCGTCTCCGGGGCGGCAGTCTGTTCAGTCTCACTGGGAACAAAGTCACACAGGCACCTTGTCAATAGAGATTATTTGACGTGATTTAGCATATGAACACTACAGATGTAGTGATTTAATAATGGTGAAACTACAGATAAGACTTGAATGTATCTTTTGTATCTTGATTCTCACTGACTCAACTTATCACGATTAGCAGTACAATCAAATGTGTTGACAATGTTAAAATGGTATTGACCCAAACTGAAGAAGTTTTTTTATCAAGTTTAAATTTATATCATCAATAAAAATTATAATATAGCACCAAAAACGTGTCCAATGTGCAACATTAACATTGAAGAAGGAAGTATTAAACTAAAGGGAAGTGGTTTTTTAGAAAACTTCCCAATAAGTAAATCAAATGGGTATTTAAGTTATTGTGGGTAAGAAAAACACACCCGTATGTAAACAAATCCAATGTCAGATGCTGATGACATAAAACAAGCGCAGCAGAGGAAAGGTTTCCACCTTGATGCATTAAGTGCAGATGTCAACCACAAATGTCTGAGACTCAGGAAAATAACATTTTGTGAAACACTTTGAGAAACAGCTCTGACGAGGACATCTAATAGATTCCATCTTGTTTTTCTTAACACTGAAAGAGGTGGCGAAGCAATTTACACCCCTTCTCCTGTTTGTATGTGCAGCTTAGCTGTAAATATTTAAAGTGTGGTTTTCTAAAGCATCACGTTACCTCACACCCAACAACAACTATGATGAGCAAGAAAAGAGATCCAGGTTTGGCAGTCGAGTCGCTGGGGCTGCAATCTTCTGTTCAAACCCAACCGAGCCCAATGTTTTCCTCGATGACAGGCACGTGTGGTGTAAAAAAATCCAGCAGGTAGCCTAGCCAACATAACCAAACCCGACCCAAACATTACAAATATTTTTGTTCAAACCCAGCCTGGGTGTCCACACTCTAATCATCAGGTAACTGAATCTGAAAAAAGTGGTGCAACATGAGTTAAAAACTTTACCGGGACCAAACACACTGAGAAAAGTCTGGGCTCATTTCAGATGTGCCTCATTATTGTCCCGACAGCGCACAGCTCAGACAAACAGGCCTTGGGTTTGGGAACGCTCACCTCACTTCTTCCTTCACGTTGCCCCAGTTGTGTGAGCCGGAGCCACTGCGCTTCTCCTCAGTCTTCTGATTGCTGCTGAGAAAAGACAGGAGGACACACACAGTGATGGGATGCTCTATGACACAGGCCACAATGGGAGGAAATCTAACAACAACAACTCTTTAGTCTGTAGTGAAATGTAGGTTAGTGACTGCTGCTCAATGTAAGGCTTGACTCTGCAGAGGTCAGCGAGTCTTCGTGTCAAAATAGAACAAAGTTTGTGAACAGTGTGATTTTGTGAACTTGAAGTTAATCAAGAAAGAAACTCCAGCAAATAAAATAGTTTGTTGAGAAGTCATTTCTATTTTTAGACTCTCTGCTCTAAGTTCAGGACTGACTCACGATTTGTCACTGCCGCTGTGTCGCTCAAAGTCTCGTTTCCCACGGGAGTCGAAGCCGTCTCCTCGGCCCATGCCCCGTCCTCTTCCACCACGCCCACCCCGGCCGCCACCACGCCCTCTTGGGGGCCGGTCTCCAGAAGGCCTGCTGGACACAGAAGCGCATGTTAATTTATTCCCTGCAACCATAAGTGGACGGCTCAAAGCACGTCATGTTCACACCTGGTGTTAGATTGCATCTCGGGTGCCTGCTTGAGATCTCACTTCTCCGCTCTGTGTGCAAATAAGCATGTACAGCATTTCTGTTTGAAAAAAGCAAATGTGTTAATGTTTGTAGTCTGACTATGACACTTGGGTCTTTTGTCAATGTCAATAAATCAATGTCCAATGCCCAATGAAAACGCTGGGTAGCGAGTACGCACATCTATGAACCAATAACATCACTAACACTTCCATATAGGGTTCGTAGCATATAGCTGTT